GAGGAGGAGGAGGAGGAGAAGAAGAAGAAGGCGGCACTCTAGTCTTTGGTTAACAATTGTTGAGGGCAAAACCTGCTTGGGGGTGAGAAGAGTGTCTGGCTCCTGTGCATCCTGACACATGCTGCTCAAGATCAAGTTCTCCTCCTGTCAGGGCCATTGCTAAATAGCATGATACCTAATAAGAAATGACTGCAGCTAAGGAACTAAAGGAGAGAAAACTAGAACACCGGTGTGCTTTTATTAGAAATCTTGAAGTTGTTAAAGGCTTTGTGTGTAATCATAATGACCAAGGAGAAAGGGATGTGATCAGAAGCACCAGGAAGGTTGGCTGGCGTCCCATAATATTACATCTATAATATGTTTATATCTACATCTTTACATCACATATAATACATAGTATAATGCATGTTTATAATCACAGTATTATATAGTATTACAATGTTTTTATTGAAGTATAGTGATTTTACAATGTATCAATTTCTGGTGTACAGCATAATAGTTCAGTCATACATATACATACATATATTCATTTTCACATTTTTTTCGTTATAGGTTACTACAAGATATTATAGTTCCCTGTGTTATACAGAATATTAAAAAAATAATGTTTTATATTCACATATAGTAAGCACGGGAAGAGGTAAACATACTAGAAAGATGAATAAAAGAAACTGACCAGTTTCAAAGGACAGAGCTCAAGAAAAGAAGCCGAGTGCAAAAGGAAATTTCTAAAAAGTAAAACCCACACTGCTCGGATACTGGCCCTGCTGAATGGCATCAATTGGAGTTTTGGTTCTTTATGGGGTTTTACACTACAATTTCTTTTCGGTGCCAAGGACACACTACAACAGCAGGGACTACTGCATACCCACATGACTATTCCCTGCCCCTAACCCGACAGTCTCTCACCACAGTGGGATAGCATTTCTCAGTAATTCATACCTTGAGGTGTTTGTGGATTCTCTTCTGGGACCAGTCAGGATAATGTATTCACATCTGCTTTGCTTTTCTGGAACACCGCTTCAGAGAAATAGTAGACCATACCTGATGGCCAGACTGGCTAATTTGATTTTATTTAAGCATGGAAAAATGTTGAAAAAAAGTGAAAATTATAGAAAATTCAAGAGTTCCAAAAAGTAGAAAAGTTTTTCTAGGTGAAGCTCGTGTTTCTGAATTTGTTCCTATGGTGATTTGATTCCCTTTGTTGTTTTAGAAATTTTCTTTTAAAAATACGTGTGTGTTTGTGTGTGTGTGTGCACTTTCAGATGTTACAATTATCTGTCATTTCCCCCCATTAACTTATCTATTTCTCTCCATTTCCTCAGACACATTCCCTACAAGAAAAAAAATCTGCATAGAAAATTGTTGGAAAATTGAATATAAAGAAAATATAAAATACAGCTTGGGTACCATTTTGGGAATCAGGAACATAGCAGATGCTTAATTCATATTTTTATGATTTATAGCACCTTATCGTTGTTTCTTTGATTTCAAGGCATCTGTGCAATCCTAAGTATTCTGCAGGAAATGAGTTATTTTTAAAAACCACATAATCAGGATAATTTTTAAGACTCTCAAGACCTATTGAGGTAACCGGGTGATACAAGCTGATGGTTGAACATCATTCTGAATCCTGTGCTAGCCAGAGGCCTGCCACAGCTGTGCCTTTTCCTCAGCTGGGTTCATTTTTACTTTCATAGTAAGTACTAAAAACCACTGTACTAATCTAAAAATGGGTTGTATCCCACTGGGTCCTAGAAAGAAGACAGAAAAAATAGTTCATAGAAAAATATGCCTCAACCCTTTCCCTCACACTCCCTGCAAATCAAAGGCCAACTTTTTAAAAACAAGCTTCTCGCACTCACATTTATCAGAAAGCCACTCCAAAGTTTATTCAGATTGAGCTGCCCTGATGTAAAAGTATTTTCAAAAGTTAAACTACAGAAGTACCATTGTTACCTTATGTCTATTTTTTCTAAATTACAATATGAATAGGATCCCAATTATATATTCATTTACAGATTTCCCTTCCCCACCTATTTCTAACCCACAAATACAGAATGTCTATAGTCACCTCGACTTAAAGTCTTAGGAGCTTCCTTTGACTTTCCCTTTTTCTTAGCTTATCTTTTATATTCAATTGACAGGTTCTCTTGATTCCTTCTCTCTGATGTGTCTTTCATCCACTCCTTCCTTTCTATTCCTGCTGCCTGGCCGCAGTCCACATTCTCTTATCCTCTCTTCGAACTATTGCTGTGGTCCCTTAACTGGGCTTCTGCATGTAGTCTCTGCCCGATCCCATTCATTCTGCTCATCACTGGTATCACTGATAGGTGACCATCTCACTTTATTATTTTAAAAGTTGCAGTGCTTCTCCACCACCTATTTAAATAATTTCCAAGTGTCTTAGCTTTATGTTTAAGAACCTACCAATTCAATTCTAGTTCAAGCCCCAGACTACCTTCCTAGCTTTTTTCCCTTTATTCATCCCAATGTGCTTCAATCAACTTGGACTTTTTTATTCACTGAATCCACCATGACTCTTGCTTGACTACATTCAGGGATCTATGTTCATGGTCTCTTGAGACTCCTCCTCCTGCAAATGTCCCAATTTGCATGAAACAGCCAGAGTTAACACCTATTATCCTGGAGTAACAATGATCAATGCTCCCTTTTGCTATCAAAAACCCCATTCTTCATATGCTAGGATTCCCTTCTTTTGGGGGCTGAATACTATTCCACTGTATGCATATGCCATATTTTTTAACTAATTCATTTGGCAATGGACATTTAGGTTGTTTCCATACCTTAGTTATCGTGAACAATGCTGCAGTGAACATGGGAGTGCAGATGTCTATCTGAGATCCTGATTTCAATTCTTTTGGACAACATGGATGAACCTGGAGGACCTTATGCTAAGTGAAGTAAACCAATCATGGAAAGACAAATAACTCCAGGATTCCACTAATTTGAGATACCTAAAATAGTCAAAGAAACAGAAAGCAG